TAAAAGTAATTTTGAAATTACCCCCAACCCCTTAATCACAAGGACAAGTAGGAAAAATTGCATTACTCTTATATACTAACTTACTTAAATATAATCTTACATTCTAAAATTTGCTTAAAACTACTTATATTAAAAAAGTACAATAAAATTAAGTCAGTTTTTCGAGGGAAGTGTCATCTTAATCAATAATTCTTTTCTTTGCCATCATAGGACCTCTTAATTGTGTATTACGATCTATATTTCGATCCTTCTCCGTGTAAAATATAATGTTATAAATATTGCTAATGAAAATATTATCATTGTATACATACTCATGTATTGCTATATATTTTCGAAATCATGTCAAATATTAATCTCTCAAGTATATACGCTGCATTCACCAGTCGTTGCCACCGACATCACCATTACAAACCGCACGCTAATGCTACATGCGAAAATAAAATAAAAATTTCAGGAATCGTGTGTTTCTGTGTTTTTTACGTCCTTTATTGACGACCATTAGGTGTATCTTTTAGCTTCGATACAAAGCTGAGAAGGTATTAATTTTACTATGATGTGTTTTTTTTTTGTGTCTGTTACCCCTTATTCTTAGCACTCACCGAACCGATTTCTTTCAACGATATGTCAAAAGATCACAAATCGTATCTATTCGAAGACATTACCCTCAAAAATTGAAAAATTTTCCCTCATTCCCCGTAAATGGGGGAAACCTCCAAAAAAATTACAAATTTAAAAATAGGTATATTTTGTCTTTTTTTTACTTAAAACTGCCATAACTTTTTCAAAATTGAACAAATCAATATATATTTTTTTAATAGTTGCATAATGTCCTTCATTTAATGTATTTTTTTTATAAATTTGACCCTTTACCTGGCCACAGAAGGGGATTTAAAATGACAACTTTTTTGTAAAAAAAAATTATTTTTTATATTCATAACTTTATAATGCTATAACTATTTAAATAATATATGGATCATTATATTTTTTTTTAAATAAGTACTGTTTATACTCATATATTATTAATATATATATATATTTATTTATTTATTCATATATTACATTTCTAAATCATAAAACTTGTAATCAGAATATAAATAATGAAATAGCTTTTGGAATAATCCATTAATTTTTTTAAATTAAACATTGCTTTTGTATTTATCCACAAATTTCTTAGAATTAAACATTATCTACAGATTTGCATCGAAGCGTTTTTTATGATAATGATTTTAATCACTGTCAGATATCATCTATGGTTAGGTCCAACTATGCCACGACCCCACTGTGATGGGTTTTTTTTGCACATTTTTATGTGACAAAATTTACGGTAAACTAGTGTGTCAAAAATTTAGAGACAAATTATTTTTATTATTTTCGGTATCGTCCGATATAATTTATATTATGTTTCGGCCTAGTCCGATATATTTAATCTAGTTGCCATTTTGCCACTTTCATTGCCAGCCACCGCCACAACCACAGTCAATGTCACGACCATTACCATGACTTTTGTCATTTAATTTTGAGCCACAGCCCTTTCTTATAGATCATCCAAATCACAGCCTTAACATCTTCGTGTAATTTCGTAGTTACTTGATCACCGAGACATCAAATTAATAACAATCGTACATTTTTATGGTCTATACGTTTTATTTCGATATATCCGATATCGTTTTGTGGTTATACATATATACTTTTTTGTGATTATTATTTTCAGCGAGTCCGATAATTAATTTATTTTGCGGCATAATTATCATTTCATTCGGCATGTCCGATATATTTTTGGCAATATTATATTACTTTGTTCGGCCTTACCCGATATACCCTATTGCATTTATATTTATTAAATTTTCGGCATAGTCCTAAATATTCTATGAATACATTATTTTATTCTACTTATCAATTATCAATTTATTTCGGTATATCCAATTTAAAATCATTTAGATTTCTTTATTTATAAATGAAATAAAAATACGCGATACACAAGGTTCAAAGAGAGAATTTACTTTTATATTATATTACATAAACAGTAACAAGTGTAAAAATGTAGTGAAAAAATGGTCATTAGTAAAAGTAAAAGAAAAACTTTGATTCAAATAGATCAAAACAACAAATGAACTAAATAACTGACAGTTTGTAGTGAATCAAAAAAATAAAATAATAATATTTATTGTATTAATGATATAAAAGGGGTTATTAATTTAGGGAGCTACTTTGACAGTTACTTAAAAGAAATAAGTTAAATAGTATATGACGGGATTTGGGTTCTTATTTGATCCATTATTTTATTGTATTAATGATGTTATTACTTGGGGTATGAGTACGAGGGTTTGTAAGAATGATAGAAGATGATAGAAAAATAGAGTGATCTTTATTTTATTAATATGAGATTCATTATAATTAATTGTCAATTTTTAAATATCAATAATGCCACGAGTTTTGACGGTAATCGATGATAGGTGGGATTGAGTCACCTCGTGTGTCTACCCAGAGTGGTATGGTGGCTATACATATGAACCTCCAACCTAACTCCTGAAATAGACACGTATCAACAATATAACTCTGCCAAGTAACTCTGTACAAACATTATTGATTTATTAAATTTACTTGGTATATTTATTATTATTGATAATCACTTGATTTTCCTGTATGCCTACTTAATCTATGTACTCATAATATTTAATTCTAAACCTTATTTATTTTTGGTGAATTTATTAGATTCCTACCTTGATATTTTCTGCTATACTCTTAAATAAATAGATGTTGTATTTTGTGAACAAATATAACTGTGTTGACGGCGGATCACTTCTTGCATATATTTCGTAGTGTGGAATGATCGAGCGTAGTGAGTGCCTTTGTGAATATCTGACTGCATCTGTCTCCGAATGCTCTTTATTTTTGGCTTTTTATATTAAATTTGATCGTAGTTCAAAGACAAGAAGTGATCACCGACGCCAATATTATTTCTTTATTAAACGTATTTTATTACATGTTATTTATTACATTTTCATCAATAATGATCTACATATTATAAAATACTATTATATCTATTATTATTATTATTATTATTATTATTACTATTATAAATTAGACATAGTTTATTACCCTTCATCTTATGTGCTACCATTACCTATTGTTTATTATTTCCTATTTGTTTTATATAATTAATATATGCTTTTTTCTACGACATTTCATTAGTATATTTAAACATTTAAAAGGTACATCTATATATTTTATTTTTATTGGTATACATTTTATTTTGTGTAATTGATTGATTGAAGTCTTAAATACTACATTATGACATTAATGATCTAATGTGTATACAAATAATTTATTATGATATTAATGATGTACTATGTATATCATTACAAGTTGCTACAGCCCCCAAAACACCTGCGCATAATTAAGCAGCATAACAGATTACAATAAAGGATTCTTTTCATAAAATGTCTTCTAATGGTGTACACTTTGTGTAATCCTTTATGTATTTATTATATGACCATTACAATTGTTACTAATTGAGCGAGACAGTTTATCATTCAAATGTTTATATATCTCATTCGAAACGCACACTATATTAAATATATAAATATATATATTAGGGTGATCCTTAGTTATAGAAGAAAATTTTTTTTTTAAGAAATTCAGAGTCATAGGCTCAAAATTTCGTTAGATTCATTGAAAAATGGAAACTGGTAAAATTTGAGTACAATAAGTCAACCCCTTCACGTGCCTCAAAGGGGTTGAAGTTCTTCAAAAATGGGGTGGATTATCTTTTTTTGAGTGTACGCTCTTTATTTTTGAAGTTTCGCCAAAAACACAAAGAACAATTTTTATAGAACTAAATGTGAACAAAAATATGGTAACGCATTATTTTTTTGTAAAATTAATATTTTTCGTAAAAATAAAAAAAATCAGTTTCACTTAATTTTTTTTAAAAAATGACATAGTTTTCAGTTATACTTTTCCAGTATCTTAAATTTTAATTGTACGCAGAAATTGTACAGAAGTAATATTAATCACCGTGATATCTTCTATAAAAAACGTTATTTGAGTTTTTTTTTGAATCCTTTCCAAAAAAAAATTTAAAACAACTACGAAAACGTGTTTGTTTTTTTTTAATTTTTTTGCATGTATGTTTTTTTGTTTATAAACGAACAAATTTTCTTAGTTATATTAAATAAAAAAAAAATAAACACAATAAAATAATAATTGTAATAGATGAGTGTTTAATATTTTGGAGAAAAGCGCGTATTCCTACACAGTATTCTTCAGACTGTGTTGTTCAATTAAAAATATTGTATGAGAAATAGAGAAAGTTGGACAAAAATAAATCTAGAAAAACAGAAACACAAGAACAACATTACAATATTTTTTCTAAAGAATTAGACAACCTCTTTGACATTTCTCATATCGAAGCTCTGAATATGATGAGTATTGAAGAAGACAAATAGTTTTTATTGTCACAACTTAAAAAAGGCCGCCCAGGGGCATGCTTGGTATTGATATGAAGTTAACAGGTATTGAAAAACGTAAAATTAATCGACAAGAAGAAGAAGATGATCGATAGAAAAAAGAGAAATTACAAATAAATATTACACAATAATTTCAGTACATTATAAGTAAGCAGTTTTTATATACCGAAGTATTTTATTATTTAGCCGAAACTCAATATTATAGCAGCTCTAGCTCGGAGGACGAAGATACTGATATGGAGGAAAACGTTGAAGAAATGAGTCAATTACTTGGGCCTTCAAAAGAAGTAAATGCATTAGAAGATATATGTTGTTTTGTAGTTGAATGTTATATTAAAATGTGGTTTTCAGCTGCGAACATTATAACAGTTTCTATAAATGATTTAATGTTATTAAAAAAGTTATTTAACTATAGTAATAATAAACTAGGAGAAGTAGCTATAAAAAAATTTATAAACCATTTATGGTATTTAAATGATAAGTGTGCTGTGTTTTCTTTATTTGGTATTCGACTTGATATTAATACTAAGCAGCTAATAGCAAAAAAAAGTATTAAAAGGTTTTGAACAGAGCACGAATGAAGAGCCAGAAGAAAATGAAGATTCAAATAAAAAATTTATTTTAAAATATGAAGATTTGGGAAGTGTCACTGGTTTCTTCCATCAAAATGTATTCATGTAAATTTTTTTTTATTACATTTATCATATATGCTTATTGTGCTCATTGTACAGATTGTATATTTCTAATAAAAAAAAAAAAATATGAAGATTTATCAGGTTTTCTAGAAAAAGATCTTTTTTTGTTGCTCAGCAACAATTCATGGAAATTATTCGAGCGATTTAAATTAAAATTCAAGTTTTTGTATGAATATCCTACCACATGGGAAATAAATAATGAATACAATAACGCCACAGAAATATTATCCTCCATAAAAATAGTAAACGACAAATTTACAAGGGATGAAAATCAAAAGCAATTTATATTATAGGTATGAAATTATATAATAATACTGCTAAATTTTTAATTTTAAATTACTATATATGTATTATAACCTTTACTTTGGACTATTTTAGGTGGTTCAACAATATCGCCAACTGTATCCCAGTTGTAGCCAAGAAATTTTGAATAAAAAATATTCAAATTGGAAAAACTATTATTGTGATAAACAGAGCTTCGATATGAGAAATGTCAAAGAGGTTGTCTAATTCTTTAGAAAAAATATTGTAATGTTGTTCTTGTGTTTCTGTTTTTCTAGATTTATTTTTGTCCAACTTTCTCTATTTCTCATACAATATTTTTAATTGAACAACACAGTCTGAAGAATACTGTGTAGGAATACGCGCTTTTCTCCAAAATATTAAACACTCATCTATTACAATTATTATTTTATTGTGTTTATTTTTTTTTTATTTAATATAACTAAGAAAATTTGTTCGTTTATAAACAAAAAAACATACATGCAAAAAAATTAAAAAAAAACAAACACGTTTTCGTAGTTGTTTTAAATTTTTTTTTGGAAAGGATTCAAAAAAAAACTCAAATAACGTTTTTTATAGAAGATATCACGGTGATTAATATTACTTCTGTACAATTTCTGCGTACAATTAAAATTTAAGATACTGGAAAAGTATAACTGAAAACTATGTCATTTTTTAAAAAAAATTAAGTGAAACTGATTTTTTTTATTTTTACGAAAAATATTAATTTTACAAAAAAATAATGCGTTACCATATTTTTGTTCACATTTAGTTCTATAAAAATTGTTCTTTGTGTTTTTGGCGAAACTTCAAAAATAAAGAGCGTACACTCAAAAAAAGATAATCCACCCCATTTTTGAAGAACTTCAACCCCTTTGAGGCACGTGAAGGGGTTGACTTATTGTACTCAAATTTTACCAGTTTCCATTTTTCAATGAATCTAACGAAATTTTGAGCCTATGACTCTGAATTTCTTAAAAAAAAAATTTTCTTCTATAACTAAGGATCACCCTAATATATATATTTATATATTATTATAAATAACCATATTAAATTTTTTCAGCATAGAGAAAAGTCGCATTATGGCTACTGTCTATTATTAAGTTTTACTTAACTGAAATGTTCCGTATTAGGCGCAAATTAGCCATTTTCAAGAATTCTCTAATGTATTTCTTTTATTATAAATTACTGGGCACTGAATTTCATGAGATAAGATTCAAAATAGCCACTTTTTTACAAAACTCAACATTTTCAACTCTTCCGAGCTTCTAATTTATATTAAAATAAAGATTATGTTATGTACTAAAAGATCAAAAAAATAAAAATTTTTCAATGTGCATATGGTTGCGGTAGTTAAAAAACATGCAATTTTTATGTTAATATTTTCGATTTCATATTAAATTTTTTCAACTTTAAATTGCTATTAAATATTATTTTAAGATGCAAGCGGGTTTTTATATTAGTTCGGCCTGTAACAACAACGTGGTTTGCCACTTGCATAACGACTAGCTATAGTAACAAGGGTCGCCACCACCTAGGCGAGGTGTCACATCTATCAGATATGATTACCGGACCATAGGTAGAATTTTAAGTTAATTAAAAGTATAATCTAAGTTAATATGTCGTTATATGTATAAATTACTATAATACCTCATGGTTTATAAAACATAATTATGACAATTAAAGTTGTTTGTGGTTGATATGTAAGACATATCGTAGCCCGTGTCTAGATTAAGGAATAGGGATAAATACACGCGTATAATTAAGTTACTCGCGCAATAAAATAAATATTACAGTTGAAATTAATAAGGAAATTTAATTTAATTGTTAAAAAAAAGAAAATTAAGTTAAACATGGACAAAAATGCGAATGCATCAAAAACCATGTCTACAAATAAAGGCAATACAAATAAAATAAAATATTTAAACAAAACAAACAAATAATATTACAAACATCATGGACGGTATTGGAACACATCCGTTAATGTTAATCGGAAATTAATGAAGAACACTAGGAGCTGTCTGGACACTCGTTCCTTAGCGTTGGCTAGAAGTAAAGGGAAACACGTGCTCTCCACACATAAACAAAATTAAGTTAATTTACGATAAAATAAAAATGAAATTAATTAATTAATAAAATATAGCTCATTACATAAATATACTATAAAAAAGAAAACGATACCCGGTCTTCGAAGAGACCCATCCGATGGTCTGGATGCTTCGCCGAAAAGACCTGGCCGTTCGCCGTTCGAATTTGTGGTCCACCTTCGAATTTGTGACGTTACAAAGATAAGATGCAAAGTATATAATTATCAATTTAGTATGTATATACAAATAGAGTAAATAGTGTACAACAGTGTATATGTTATGACAGATAAATTAATTATTTGTTTGTATACAAGTAATATAAAATACAGACTGCAAATTTTTCATTGATAATGTAAGATGCGTAATGCATAGCATTAGGCATATTACGACAATACTGTGCCAGGACCCCACTTGGCTACCGTTTTTTTGCATGATAATGTAATAGACCCTCGACCATAAAACTCAACCATAAAATATACGGTCAAATTTGACTGACTTAGCACGGTAATTGTACTGCATAAGCATGATAAATTAATTCTAATTTTGATTTACTTAGCATGTTAAGACGATACAGATATGATCCTAGATCCCTCCGTATGACGGTACAACCTATGTTAAAAACATTTTATTCAAAATTTAAATAAGAGTTAAACCATTGATTTATTTACAACATATACAGTTTCACTCAATATGGATTTATATAAGCAGTAGTTGAGATACAAGTGCTATAGAAATTTCTATTGAACAATGTAAATTAAGGGGTCGAAAAATGTTCGAATACTTTGAGTGACGACTTTTTTCATTTCTTAAGTTTTATTATAAATCATGTCACTAATAATACAGCAGAGAGGTAAATAAGTTAACATGATCAATAAAATAAATTATTTGTTTCTTTATTTTTAGTTAAATAGCTATAGTTTTAGTTTCATAAATAGGTAACAACAAGATATAATGTTTTTCAATTTTTTTCATTTTTATAAAAAAATTAATATTAACTATTTATTGACCAATTTAGTATTTATTTAAAAAAAGCCATCTGTAAAACGTCAAGGCTTATTAATTTATAGACTTATATTTCATTATTCAATGTTGACTGAAACAAAAGAAAACAAGTTTTTACTAGTATTTTTGGTACAATAATGGTATCGATGGAATGGTAATCGATAAATAAAATGTTTACTTAGTTTTAAATAAGTATTATTAAATATTAAATTTAATTTAGTAAATTTTTTTTATTGCAATTTTAAAAATACTTAAAAAGGCATTTTTAACATTATAAAAACATAGATGTGATATTAGATAAATAGAATTTCTTTTAATCTATCATTTCCACAGTTTTATTCGAATACACCGATTGTCAATCCAAAAATGTGTTTCTACATTTTCATTTTTATGTATTTAACCAGCAGTTTTTCAAATGGACTACTATGCACTTCTTTTCCTTTAAATGCGGTAAATAGATATCATTTAATTTTTAATAATATTTAATTGTTAAATGTTTTTTAATTTGAAAATAAATTTTTAGGGATATCTATATGTTTATTGAGATATAGATTATTTTTTATTCTTACTTATCTTACTATCTATCTTACTTTGGATATATTAGATTTCCCGAAAAAATACTTTTTAGCGTTAAAATTATTCAGCTACACCACGTTTCAAGTTTCCTTTTTGTATAAAAAAATTTGCTATTAAAATTTTATTTGAGAAGCAAAATTTCATGAAAATAGTTAATAGTTGTATAAATTCAGTCATTTATTAAGTTACAAGACAAATTATTTTATTACAATAAAATTTTTTTACCAAATATCTATCTCATTTAAATTTCAAAAATATAATTAATATATTTTTTGATTTATTATATTAGTATAATGTAGTTATTAGTATATTTGAAAATGCAGTTGGGTAATAACAGTCCAGTGAAAGCTGATAAAAATTGGTAACCAACACAAAAAAATAATAATAAAATATAAATAAAAAAACACATATTAAAATAGATACCTTGTCAGCTTCGCGTTAAAGCTAAAAAATTAAACTTTATTTCTATTATTATTAATCAAAAATTATGCACACTTCTAAATCATTTAATATTCCGTTCTAAAATAAACTTTAAAAAGTAATTGGAATTAAAATTTGTATATTTAATTATAAAAACAACNTAATTAATTGGTTATCGATTTAAAATCGATTAAAAAATGTAATTTACTAGTTTTTAACGTAAAATTTACAAATTAAAAAAAATTAAAAAAACGGTAGCATAGTAGGGTGGTGGCACAGTGGGGTCGTGGCATAGTTGGGTCCAGTATGGATGATATCTGACAGTGATTAAAATCACTATCATAAAAAACGCTTCGATGCAAATCTGTAGATAGTGTTTAATTAAAAAAAAAATTTGTTAAAATAGCATATTTTTAATATGGTAGCCATTTGCGCATAGAAGATAGGTCGTCGGGACAAATTTTTTTTCTTCATTTTATAGTACATAAAATAAGCTTTAATTTGATATTTGTTTAAAGAACGCAGTATTTCAGGAACATTTTCAAAAATGTAGTTGAAAAAGATCTATGTTTTTTACAATATTTCAAGTTTTGGACGCCCCTATATATGGGGAAATTGTCCAATTTTAATAAAAAGTATGTCAAATGAAAGATGTACTTATAATGTATTTAGAAAAAAAATTTCAATAAATATAAAGGATCTTATCACTATAGTCTCCACTCGTGAGAAGAAATTTATATTCATGTTAATATTATTTTACTATGTGGTTCTTTTTGTGGCTACGATTTATTTTGCCAACCCTCACTAAACCTACTTTTTTCAACGATACGTCAAATGATTCATTTAAGTTTAATGATATTTAAGTTAATGATTAGTTTAAGTTATTACTCTTAAAAATCAAAAAAATATTCCTTATTCAAATAAAAAGTAGCTTAACCAGCTTTTTCCATACAAACAATTAAAATCATTAATTTTTAATATTCTTAAAGTATTTATTGTCGNTAAATCATTCATTTTTAATATTCTTAAAGTATTTATTGTCGAATTAGATTTGATATGATAAAAGTATTCTACTAAAGTCAATAATTTTACTTTATAATTTATTAATTTTTTAACTCTATTTGTGTGTACTACTACCAGTCTATAATATTCTAAATTGTTTTGTAATATGTTGCTATATAAATCATAAATTTAACAAAAAAATGATTTTTAGTTTCACCTGAATTTAATGATGGATTTTTACAATTATAATTATATTTTATAATACTCTCAATTGAGTAAATCTTTTTAACTACTTTGTTTTGATTGGTTCATTTAGTTAA